AAATGGTTGATGATAATCCCAGGAGATGGCATGAGCTTCTTTCAGATACTCTCTGGGCATACAGAACCTCACAACGGAGTTCAACTAAGGTGACCCCATTCTCACTTACTTATGGTCATGATGTTGTCTTGCCTATGGAATTAACGGCAAGGTCTTTGTGGATTGCAATTCAAAATGGCTTGAATTCTGGGGAATACAATGAGGCCATGATCATGGAGTTGGAAGACCTTGAGGAAGCAAGGATGATAGCATTGGATGTGATGAAGGCCCAGAAGCTTAAAGTGGCACGAGCTTACAACAAAAGGGTCAAGCAAAAGAATTTAGTCGAAGGAAGCTTGGTTTGGAAGGCTATGCTGCCGCTTGGCAAGAAGGATCCTAGATATGGTAAGTGGTCCCCTAATTGGGAAGGACCATTCCAAATTCATAAAGTTCTTAAAGGGGGTGCTTATTGGTTAAAGTCTTTGAATGGGCAGTTGCATCCGCACAAGATCAATGGCATCTATTTGAAACCATATTATCCAATTGTGTGGGAGGTAGGGGATAGTTCTGCCTCCATGTCTGCATGATCCAGGTTTGCAGATATTTGTATATTATTTGATTCAAGTTGTTTTTCTTGCAATAAGGACACGTAGAGTTTTGGCTTGAACCATGGAAGCATACATAAGACTTGGTGTTGCCAAGGAGGCATGGCATGTTCTTACATTTGTGTTTTAGAGCAGCTTTGTTTGTAAAGCCGTGGGCAGCATGAATAAAGCAAGCAAATAAATTCATGTTCATCATTAGAAGAAGAAAAATAAAAAGAAGTCTAGAAACAAATGTTCAAGCGGCTTAATGGCCGTGACAAGGATGAATGATGTTGAAAAAAAAAAAAGAAAAAAAAAAGAAAAGAAAACCTAACAAAGGTTTTGCATCCAGGTGGCCCACTCATCTCTTATTTGCTGCAGTGTATTGTTAGCTTCCTTTGCTTTCTCCTCCTGTTGTGCAGCCTCACTCTTTGCAGCCAAAGCTTCACGTCCTTCTTCCTTGAGCTCAACTAGTAATTTGCTGCTTTTGGCTTTAAAGGATTTAGGGCTTCCTTCTTGCTATAACTCTTGGGCAAGAAATTGGCTGGCCATAGTTGGAATGGCTTGACAGAGACGATGCAAAAACTAGTAAAACAAAAAGAGAGAAACGACCGCAAATCTATGATGATGGTTATCGGAGGAGTGGCTGTGTTTTATAATAAATTGGAGTCGATCATGTTTTCGAGTCCTAAGCAGTGAATTATTGCAATTGCGTGTAGAAGTTACAGTCGGCCACGTTTCCGATTCCAAAACGGATAAGAAATGTAAACAGCAAAAGGGGACAAGGGCACAAAGAAGTTGAGTACTATCACTAAGGTCCTAAATTTTTGACACTTACTCCCATAAGGCTAAAAATTAGGGGGCAATGTTTACACCTAATTTTACAACAAATTGAGTGCTGCCACGTGTCACCCATGATGGTAGATATTTTATTAGTTGGTGTGAATTTCTTCAGATGAGATTGAGTGGTTATTTCCACAACGGCAGCAAAACCGTTCTTTTGTTGCGAGCTTTCAGGAGGATAATTGCAGCACCAACAAATTAGTCAATTTGTTGCAGATATTACGCTGCCGTTGGTTTTTCAGCTGCCGCAAATGTCCACCATGCTGCTAAGGTGTTATAAATACCTAATGATAAGATCAAGCAAGGGATCGACATCTCACACAACAAACTCAACACAATTTCTCTTTATACTCAGATTCATCTTAGTTTCAAGCCCTTTAATTTAATTTTAGCTCTACGCTTCAACTTAGATTAGTTTAGCAATTCGGTTCTTCTTTTATCGAATTTGTAATGGTGAGTTTCACTGCCTTCAGTAATATTTTTTTGTAATCGGATTGCTTACTTTCCTTTATATTTGTTTTCCAGATTTCCCTTAATTTAATTAGATGATGTCGACATTTAATTTCATGTTCAGTTCCATTTCTGTTAATTTACATTTCATGCTGCCAATAGATTTTTCATGCTTCGGGTTTTATTTACTTTAATTTAATTTACTTTTACCGCAATTAAATTTCCTTTTAAAACTCTGTTTCAATTCAGTTTGCGTATTTAAAGTTCATTTAGATTTTCAGTAATTTAGCGATCATTTATTTACCTTGCAGTCTTAACTTTTCTTGATTACATTAGCTTTGAGGAGTCCTTGGATTCATATCCAGGGCATTTTGTCGTATAACACATTTAGTGCAGGAAGTTCATCCCTCGTTTCTGCCAATCATCTGATCTTTAAGGTGCAATTCACGACGTTCTTTTATCAACTCACAAGCTGAGTTTCACGCTTAGAAAGAAGAGAGGGTCATCGGAGAAAGTTTTCTTGTTTTAAGCAAAGCAAGTAGCACGCCATTTCATCTGACATGTGTCAAGGAGATTTTTTGGGATAACATGTTGTATTATTGATGTCTTCTGTTATATAAAGATTATTATCAGGGAAATAAAATATCAGTTCAAATCAATATTTTTCAGTTTAAAAACTCCTCTTATTTTGCTGCATTTTCTTCCCTTCCTCTATCACCTTCGGCCTTATAACCAATTCAAGGCTACCCACTCTATCGGTGGTTACCATTCAGCCCACCGAGATCTACCGTTTCACCCAACCATGTGCACCCTAGAGAAGCGTGGCAACCTCTTCATCCTAACCCTCACCGGCGACGACGAGCA